CAGAGGAAGTGGGGGAAAAGGGCTCTAAAGAAAAGAAGCAGCAAAAGCCTTTTTCTTGCACCCACTGACTCAGTTCTCCACGTTAAGCCGTTAGTACATTTTGTTTGCTTTCCAATACGTAAGACAGCGGCATAGGAAGAAACTTTCTAGTAGCTGCCTCTTCAGGCCAAGGAGGTCTTGTTCACAGGATGACATCAGATCAAGAAAAAGAAGAGACTGCAATCTCTGCAAAACCACAGTAATGACAAGAGAACAAGCCAGATTTGTCCCTCCAGATTCCTCATCCCGAAGTCAATCAGAATCAGCAAAACCCAAGAAACAGGCTATTTATTAATATCAAAAACTAGTGCTGTAGAAGGGCCTTCCAGTAACACTGATCATCATAAAACACATATTTTTCAGCAGCTTTCACAGAATACTCACATTTCTTAGCAAAGGTAGAACCAACCGCTCAAAGGAAACAAGGTCTACAACATATTGTCCAACCCGGTATTCACATCTTGAAGTAGAATTAGAACTGAAGTTGAAAAAGAGACACAAAATTCCTTCTCAGTACTGAGTTTAGTGAGAATTCACTGCAGTCATTTCAAGTGGATTTATGGGAATTTATTCAAATCAATCAAATGCCCTCAATTCTTCTAAGAAAGGATGGGAAATAAACTCTGCAGACCATGATTAAGTCATATTGCAGATAGCTTGCTTTTAGATAATATTTATACCATAAGCTACCTTCACAACTATGCAAGCTCAAGTTTGAACAGTGTATGGAAGGACAATGGCATCTAAAAGTCAGCAGGTATATGTACACCGAAATCAAAACTCATGTCTGCAGTTCAGATCTTTGAATTTGGTAATGTGACACTACAGACAGCATCACAGCAGTAGCCCAAATCTCAGTATAGGCTGCGAAACCCTTAAAGAATCTCAGAAAAATACTCAGTTTGCATGTGCTGCACCACACTATCCTAGGTGAACCTCTGTTATTAGCAGAATGTAAATTATTTAGTCAGATCAGCTCTGTCTGAACGAGGTGCTAAGGTCACACGTGGACCTGGACTAAGTTTTGCTCAAAGTGGGAAAATCTAAGGTTAGAGAATCAGGAGAGACTGTGAGCTCCTCTGCACTTCAGAGGCCCCTCTCTTAGTGTGGCTCTGAAACCCTCTTTTTCTTAAAATTCACATGTGAGTTTTGAGTGCCAGTCAATGGCTCTTTAAAACAATGTTATAGGCAATTTCCCTTTTTATTTTCTACTTCTGTCTCCAAAAATTAGCCGGTGGAAACACAAAAAACTTCCTCCCTGCCTACAATAAGCTACTAACTGTATTCCAAAGAGACTTGGCCTCATAACAAAAGGCTCGTCAGTGCTTACTCTTTATCTGGTGTAAAATCGGCAGTAAGAGAGAACATCCCCCCCAGCACATTTTCAATATTTCAGTATGCAACAGAGACACTGCCTGCATATACAATATAGGTATCAGCCAGGAACAAGAACTAAACAATGAACCTGACCATGAAAGCCATATGTGTGCTGGAAATCACCTTCTGGAAGAGCATTTAACATGCTGATGGATGAAGCAGACACATAAAACAATAAGCCGCTTACAGTTATTAAAATCTCAGTACCTGACTCTAGATAAAGGTCCTCGGTTTCCAGACAAAGTGACAACATCAAATCCTGTTCTCCTGCCACCTTCTCTAACTTCCTCTGTGTAAAATCCATCAATGGGAATGCCTGAGGATTTTAGAGCTTGAGTGACTTTCTGGATCAAAGTAGTCTTTCCAACCCCTAAAAATAAAGAAGAAAAAAAGCACAGAGCATTAATCTTCTTCTGCACTAAAAGCCCATTTTTAAACACCACAGTAATGATTCAGTTCAGCAGGAACACTGATTACTTTTGAAGTTTGCAAATTATTTTTTTTAAATGGTAGGAAAGAACAGAAGCACCTTTTAAAGTTCATCCTGTACTGAAACGGTAAAGTTTTATTAGCATTTAAGAAGTTCACAACAGAATGGTAAAAATATCCCAGGCTACCACTGAAATAGTTTAGATAGCACACAGGCAGGCCACAAAACTTACCCCAAGACAGGTAAATACATGAGAGCCATACTGTTACACAACTGATATTCAAGCTTGCTGGAAAACTGACTGATGAATCTCCCTTTCTACCACTGATATTCACTCCTTTTTAAGAACAGAGCTAAGTTTACCCCCTTTTTAGATCAAAAGGTCAAAGCAGACGGCTATTAACAGAAGCCTAACTGGCACAAAGAACACACTACTTTCACTGATGTCCTAGAAATCAGAAGCACTCGATGCCCGTGAGATACCAGGTCCTACATGGCAAAAAGTATTCCCAACAACAGAAAAATTCTTCTTCTGGTAACTGAATCAAGAGACATTTTGACTAGACATAGGGAAAAGCTTTTTTATTGTGAGGCCAATGAAGCCTGAAACAGGTTGCCTGTAGAGGCCATGCAGTCTTCATGTTCTTTGAGGTTTTGAAGACATGACTGGATATGGCCTTGAGCAACCTGGTCTGGCCTCATAGCTGACCCTCTGTTACATCTCTTGAAGTTCCTTTTACATGAATTATCCTGGTACCCTTCCCTTTAATCCATTTTCTTACCCTAAGACAGGTCCTTAAAATCCTCACCACCTGATGTCTCCTTGCACATTCTGATATACCTTTTACAGTATAAACATTGGTCATGTCCCAGGCATCCTTTCACGTCCCCCAAGGGAGCTACTTCTTCTCCTTTCCATCCCTTGACAATCTCCTTTTAAACTCATCTTTATCACCTCTCACAAAATGTAGTGCTATCACTTCATTTTTAATCATTGCTCTAAAAAAATCTGAAGATAGAAAACAGTCCTGCAGAATTAGTTCCCAGAGACGAAGAACACAGACCAAATGTGAGATGTCTAAAGATGCCAAAAGAAATCATTTCAACATGCACACACCAAATTTCTCCTTTTTCCTAACAGTCAGTATCAATGACAAAATAAACTGTGCCTTCAAGGGCATCCAGCCAAACTCTTAAACAAACTTTTCAAAACTGAAGAAAAGGGCTTTCTGGCAGTTGAACAACAATAAAATAACAAACGTGGCACCCTCAGTATCTAGCATCTTTCCAAGGCCTTGTCTCTATAAGCAAATTTATACTAATTTGGCTAAGTGGATTTGCTATCTCTAATTTGGTTACCTTCATTCGGTAAATTGCCGAAGAAAGCTAGAATGATTCAAACTCAGTTTAAGAAAGCTTGAAGTTATACATTTAGCTAATCAAAACAGTACATTCAATTTCAGATAAATGACAAGAGACAAGGCCTAAGCAGGTCTAACCCCTGAGTCTCCCAGAGGGCTGCCTTTATTCAAGTGGATGGAAAGACAGAATGAAGGGGGTAGAATGTATTCCTATCTCAGCTTAGCAGCAGCATTTTAAATTAATTGCAGGCAAGACAGGCATCTACAAGAGGTTCACAGAAAGGAGAATTAGGTCCACTGCTTTACTCCCACACCACAAAAGAAACGTTTGCAATCATAATAACTGGTTAATTTCTTTATCAACCATATAGTTCAACCCTCATACTATACCCCACTCTGACGCCACAATAATCTGATTCCACTGCCTTGATGAACTACTACAATCAAAGCCTGTCCATCTGGGATATCAATTATTACCTATATCTGCACATCACTTAGGTTGGAAGTGCTAAATCACTACAATTAAGTTACAGAAAACACGAGCTCTCAGAAATTATTCATGGATGCAGTTTACACCGAAACAGGATTAGTTGTCCGGGAGGTGGGTTTTTTCCCCAACACCGAACTGCAGGGCTGGAGCCAGGGACAAATCAGTAGTGTCTGGAGAAGTACATAACACAGGGGACTGGGTGGAGAGATAACACTGCCTTTCATTAGGAACAAACTAATTAGCGCATTAGGAACAGCTCTGACCCCAGCACGGGGGGAGCGCGGCAGCCCCGGGCCCACACGCCGGGGGTCCCTGGAGGCAGCTGCCGAGCCCGGCTGTAGCTGGAGGCGCTCCCGGAGCACCTGGGATTGCGGGCCGGCGGCGGGGCCCGGCAGCAGGTGCCTTTACCCGGCTCCAAGTGCCCCACAGCCCCGCCGGCACCGTGCAGGGCGGCGGCCGAGGCCGAGCCGGGCCCGGCCAGGCTAAACCAAGCTAAGCCAGGCCAGGCCAGGCCGGGCCGGGCTGGGCCGCACAGCGCCGTGCCGCGCCGTGCCGTGCCGTGCCGTGCCGTGCCGTGCCGTGCCGTGCCGTGCCGTGCCCCAGAGCAGACCCTGCGAGCGCACCCCCTGCCCCGCTGCCGGGGCTGCGCCCGCCCCCGTTACCTGGGGGTCCTGTGAGAAACACGTGCCTGGACATGGCGGGGCCGCGCTCCGCCCTCGCCCCCGCCCGGCGCTGCACCGCCCCCGCTCCGCCCCCGGCCTGGCCCGGCCCCGCCCCACACCCAGGCATTGCCCCAGCCCCAAACCCCGGAGCAGAAGATTACTAAACCCTTGGGCGGGCGGTGCTCCCCCCTAGGGTCGGGGGGTGAGCGCTGAGGGACGACGGGCCGTTCCCGGCCTGAGGCGGCCTCGGAGGCGTGGCCCAAGAGTGGGCGGGTGCTGTGGTGTTTCCCATAATATTGAGGGTACTTAACGTGAGGGGAGAAGGAAAAAAACCAACCTAATTAGTTCCTAAATGAGGTCAGCGTTTTCTTTGTCTAGTCAGTTTGACCTGTTACGTTAATAGAATCATAGAATGTTAAGGGTTGGAATGGACTTTAAAGATCATTTCATCCCAGCCCTCCCTGCCATATGCCGGGACACCTCCCACTAGACTAGGTTGCTCAAGGCTTTATCCAACCTGGCTTTGAACGCTGCCAGTGTTGGGGCATCCACAACCTCCCTGGGCAACCTGTTCCAGTATCTCACCACCCTCACAGTAAAAAATTTTTTATAATATCTAACCTAATTTCCCTGTTCAATTTTTAACTGATAACTCCTTGTCCTACCACTATCGTTCTAGATGGAGAGTCCCGCTCCAGCTTCCCTGTAGGCCCCCTTCAGGTACTGGAAGGTTGCTATGGAGTCTCCACACAACCTTCTCCAGGCTGAATAACCCCAATTTTCTCAGCCTGTCTTTGTAGCAGAAGTGCTTCAGTCCTCTTATCAACTTTATGGCCCTCCTGTGGACTTGCTCCAACAGTTCCATGTCCTCCTTATGTTTGGGACACCAGAACTGTATGCAGTACTCCAGGTGGGGTCTCATGAGAGCAGAGTTACAATAATGAACTCGCCCTAGAGCTTTTTACCTGTTACAAGCAAGAAATGTACTCCAAGGTACGGCAAACGCGTCAATTAAAAGAGGAATGGTTTGTCTGATATCTTAGTGTAGACACCAAATGTAATAAGGGGGGTGGGTAATATACACCCTGGGGGTTGTTACAAAGCTGAGAGAATTGAGTCACAAATGAAAAGGTCTGGCAGGTTTAACTAAGACACTGATAAACATCTGCATCCCAAAATGCTATATGCATATGGCCTCTGTATTTGTTTACACTTGGGTGTGGGGAGCAGTGAGAGCAGGGAAAAGGATTTATGTGTGGATGACTGTGGTACACAGGCTTCTGTCTGGGTGAAGTGATGACCTGCCACCGAGATGAACTGATGCCTGCCTGGCCATAAGCACTAAAATGGTTACCCAAAAATCCTGGGCTATGAAAAGGATACATCCCAATTTGTACTTGCTTCAGCTAGAATGGATCTCTTCTGGTTCAGCACATTTTTGTCTGGCTTTCATTTTCAGTAATTTCCTGAGGAGGTAAAGGTTATTCATCATTTTCACAAAGATAATGAGTATCGTTGACAGCCAAATGACATATGCAAATCAGCAGGTAGACTGCACATCACAATAGATGGGTATTTCCATTAATTGAACAAAATATTTTTGATGTGTACATCTCATATGGCCACTATTCCTTGTATTAGTCAGGTGGTAGAAAACATGCATCCTCTTCAACTGTGGCCCTAAGGGAGTTGAAATCCATACTGTCCATATGCCAGGAGAGTATCCTTGTAACCAGATTTACAGGCTTTTCCTATTAAGTCTGAGACACAGTAGAGCCACATATTCAAGCTGATTGGGCCAGATAGAGCACAGTTAAGATGTTAATGTAGAGGCAGGAAGACCTAATTTCTGCCCGCATTGGCATTGTACAGTCAGTGGATATATTACATATAATCAATTCACTGGATATGTTAGATATAATCAAAATACTTATATTTACATAAAATTTGGGGAGTCATGAGAAGCAAAACTCAAGTGTTACTTCTGAGTAGACCAGGGATTGTTCTTACCATAGTTTAGAACATCTGTACATTTTTTTGGCCTAACTCTTTCACTGGATGTGGCCAGAGGTTATTTCAGAAGGGAGATTGTAACTCCAAATTCTTGTTTGCTTGTTCTCTGCTTTCATCAATGACTCAATTCAGTTAATTTATCTTTGTCTTAAACATAATGACTTTTATTTCTCATTTAGCATGAGTAGTGTGGAACATGTTTCATCCTTAATACTTAATTAAAAAAACTGGACAACTCTGGCATGCCTTTTGTGGAGTTGCAGGGTCAAGAGGTAACAAGGCAACTTCCCTTGTCATCTAAAATGAAAACTGTATTTTCATAGTTTACATTCCAGTATTTTGTTTTGTGGGTTTTTTTTAGAATCAATGAAATCGTAATATTAACTTACAGCTTCCTGTGGGGTTTGTCAGGCATATTTAATCTAAAGAAAGAATCATGAAGAAGAACTACATATTTAATAGATTATTAACACAAGAACAGCGCTTTATAACTGGTTACTTCACCCTTGCCCTGAACTTCCTGTGCAGAGCTTACTGTGATTGATTTTACAGGTAGGTTTTCTGTATAATATTAAACTATTTCAGTCTATTGGCTAGTTGCCCAGGCAGGCCATATTAAGAGACCTAGATAATGTTGTTTTGTTCCACACAAAGTTTTACTAGGTTTTACAAATCAACCTTTCATTTTCAGAAATGCATGTGGAGAATTTTAAGGCTGTCGCTACTGTTTGACAGAACCCTTGTTTTCTGGTATTGATGCCTTAAGATCCTTTTAGTTTCTTATTTTTCTAATTTTGTAAGCTTTATAAGTTTTATAAGAAGTAGAAGTAGATTTTAGAAGCTGCAGCCCTTATCCCTCACCCTTTAGCACCCTTCAGTTTTCACATTCCTCAACCCTCTTACCCCATTCCATGCTCCCCATATCAATTCTACTCCTGAATTCAGTAGAAATGTTTAGTCTTTTGTCAAGGCAAGGCCTACGCTGTTTAGAGAACACTCATATCGTGACCTGAACAACAGAACACCGTCAGGAACTAGGTGACTGTGTACCCTTTGTGCTCTGAAGATGATGAAAAAGTGGTCACAAAAGCCCATAGATCCAATTCCCAGGGGGTGGGCCAGGGGGTGGACCAGGGCAAAAGCTACAGGATGGACAAAACTTGGATTGGTTAGGCAGTATTATAAAATGTAACATCTCAGGCACGGCCGTCACGCGTCTTGTAACATCTATGCCTAGAAACAAACCATTTCCTTATCTCACCCTCAATTAACTGCTTCGGAGTTTTTTTTCCTTAGCACTTTTAGGCATCAGTATCATATTCTAAGAACTATTTAATCGTATTTTCAGATACAGGACTCTCAGAGTTATTTCACTGTGGGACTGAAACCTTTGTCTTACAAACAAAAGTGTGAATAAAGTAGTTGCAGGACCAGGGCTTTAATTAGTTAGCATTTCCCTTTGATTTCCATAGTAATTTCTACCATAAAATGTTCTCTCCTTCTGGATGCTCTGTCTAGGTCAAAGTCATTTAAAAGCACCAAAACCAGGAAGTAGATATGCCAATTGTGCTTTTGTAGTTTTGCTGTTAAGAGGACCTTATGTTTGCTAAATGAATTCGAATTTTTATGCATGTTTTATCAAAGATTTACTATTTAAGTTTGTTTCCTTTGATATCTTTATTCTATAATCCAGTGACTGCACAGAAGACGCAGGTTGTTCAAGAAGAACGAGCTGCAGGGTGCATGTTGTCTTCTCTGTACCTGTATGCTATGACCAGTAGTCTTTGGAGCCAGCCTGTGTGCTCTCCTGATCTGGACATTTTTGCATGCTTGGCTGGAGATGGTTAGCTGAAATTAGTAGAAATAGCACATACCCTAGCAGTATAGATAACTCTAAAAGAAAATAAGTAAGTAGGTTTTACTCCTTCCAGGATGAGGAGAGAAAACCTCAGCTTTTCCTCTGCGGGTATGGGTAGGTTAATTTGTAGTTACTTATTCCTGAGAGATTCTTAGCTCAAAATATTTTCCTGATCAACTATCTAGACTCTGGTTTTGCTAGGTGAGTGTCAGTAAAACTCCACTCATGATGAAATGAATTGTATGATTGGGCAAGGCCATGAAAGAAGTATTTACAAAAAGACTCCCCCCACGGGCAGGATCTGATTCTGGGTGACTGTGGAGACTTTCAGAGGAGCTGCCAATCATTGTTACAAACTGTTAGCTAAGCCTGGGGAAATTTGCATTTATTGCTGGATGTTCACTAAAAAAAAACTTGGATAGAGTCCTAGACCTTTATGTTGAATGGGGTAAAATTAATTAACTGCAAGTTTCCAGACCAGTGACTAAGAAAAGAGGTCATTTATGATATTTATGGTATTCCCTAGAGTAGAAGCTGGAAGGAATGAGAGTGTAATCTACCATCTCTGACCTGCCTCAGTAGGCAGGAGTTTACATTTCAGCACTGCCTCAAAGAAGGCACAGTACCTTGTTAAAATTTTAGTCCTTGGTTTATTTGGTGTTAGGTTTTGGAGGCTTTTCCACTGATGGAAGAGAGAATGGTTAGAATGAAACCCTTATCTTTCTCTCCAATAGAACTTGTCTTTTTGATTCACAGTACCTCAAGTTTTTGCAGCAGTTTGCTTACATCAGGATAGGGAAGTACACTTTTTTTAGAAATAAGATTTCATTTTAGAGAGTTCCTTCTTTTGTCCTTGTTCTCACCTGCAGAGAATGTTCTGACTTACAGATAGTGAGTCTAGCTGTAGGCCACTGGCCATCTGATGATATTAGTGATGGTGTTTCTGAGTTGACTTTTGTTTTACCTCTGGAGTAATCATAGCATCAGCAGGTGTCTGAGAGTAAACATTGAGCATCTACAGCCTACCAGTCTTTAATCTTAAACTTCCCAGAGAGATAAACCATTAGCTACATGCAGGGCTTCCTCTAGATAAAAACTTGGGTACAGCCTCTATCAGAGATTTACCTATAGAACTTTTTTTGTGTGAGTCATGCAGTAGAAATCCTTTGTGTTCCACCAATAGTTGTGTTCCCCAAAACAGAA